GCCATATCTATCACAGTGCGATTTTTTCGTTTGTGCTGCATTAAATATGAATTGCAGCGTAGGTGAATCGAGATAGTTTATTTTTAGTAGTTTCGATGTTTGCTTTTCAGTTGAAATGTGTGTTTATAGTTATACCAAGTAATTTGAATGTATCTACAGTTTCTAATTGTGTGATATATTTCAATACTAATTACTTACCCGTCTTATTCGCTGATGATACCACCAGCGAATAAGACATGTAATGTTTGTTCCTTGTTTAGTACTTTTGGTAAGTCATTGATGTACCTATATCAGAAATAGCACACAACCCAACACGGGATTGGTGGTATCCAATGGGATTTCCGCACAGAAATAAATGGGCTAATCGCAACACCGAAAGCCATCACCGTGACGATCGAGTAGATATGAAATGGACTTGCACTTGGACCTCTGATCATCTTTAAACTAATGGTAGTATTTCATGTAAGTTTAGTATTTGAAAATATTGTGTATATTCTCAAATACTAAACTTAACGTAAACGTAAAATGACGTCCTCCTAGAGGATGCGACCGCGTTAAAACAGGAAGCGTATGATGGCAGGTAGAGAGAGATCCTCGCTGATAAATGCAGTTAGGATCCGACGCTGCCCCTCCCAAGCTTTAAAACACGCCGGCCGACTGCCTCTACCCGCTCGGAACTCAGCCATCCGCCGATGAACTTCGGGGAGCACCTCCGCCTGCCTCTGCGGAAACCATATGTGCATCTTCTATGCAGTCAGAGCTTTCGCCCACACCGTACCAGTGCCATTAACCGGACAACCCCCTTGTACAGATTAGGCAAAAGTAGCCCAAGGGCAAACGCAGCGCCGCGGCGCCGTATACCACAAGTAAAAAAAGTGTGACACAATTGTTTAAGTTTTTATTTCACCAGTACATACATTAAATCTAATATATTTAAATATACTACATAATTTATAAAACAGAGTTGTAGTGATTTCCATGTGCTGAGTTGAGTTTATTGAAAATCTTGAAATCTTCTTCATCGCCAATTCTCTTCTTAGGTGCACCTCCATGTTGAATGGTTCTTGTTGTTGAAATGATATTGCAGAAGTGATTTAAAGGACATTCTAGTATCATGGTTATATTACAATAAAGGTTATTTAATAAGCGCCTCAGAACAGCACAAAACGATCAGCAGTTTAATGACATTACTACTTTTGAACTTCATTCTCTAAGTTCTCACAAAGTGTATCGTTCTTATCAGGAAGCACTTCTCCCATTGTATACTTTCTGATGTAGATGTCAATTTTATTAAATAATATTTTCATGGCTCTCTTGACAATTGGTTTATGTAGGAAGTTTTCGGTTTGCCTCCAACGGTCATTCATGTACTTAACTGTTTCATTTACTGCAAAGAAAATAAAACATTTTAGTTATTATTTATGTTCAAAATTTAAAGTTTTGTCAAAAGACTTTATATTATAAGCGTGTTTTGACATATCGGTAAGTCGAACTACGAGTATATTAATTATTGTGTCAGAAAATTATATACTTTCTACGTGACAACAGTATAATTCAGATAAACGGTATTTAAAGTGATTACTTAACACAATCAGACAGTGCGTTTAAACATTTGAATTTAAATTCTAGCCTCTTCACTCGAGTTCAACTGGCAATTTGCCGATTTTTATCCTCTTCTATCTTCACATCATTATATATGTTCACGAACTGTAACTATTTGAACCCCACATAATCTTTAAATAGCTATGACCATTTGTTTTTCATTAAAATTCTTACCTTTATTGGTGTTAATGAGATTGGCGTTGGTGATTCCAAATGCTAGTTTTCCTTTAAGGTTAGTTTTGGAGTCTTGAGTAATAATAAAGAAATGTGGCCTGTGATCTTCATTCACAAATACTGAATATAGTCCATAGTTAAGTATATCATAATCATCTAAAATAAAAATACTAATGTTAATTATTGTTACTGTAATTAATTATGATTTTACATAGTTACTTTACTTATTAACATTTCGGGTCCAATTCGTATTTCTCTAAGTATAGTCATTACAAGCGAGGAGTATGTTATAATAAGTGTCAATAATAAAAAGAAATAGTATTAAATTTCAAAAAAAGAATAGAAAGGAATAGTAAAGATGAGTGTTGGTAATCGCAGAATAGCCTGTCCTAAGAAATTTATGTTGATTTAGAAAATGAAATATGCGGTTTTGCACACATGTCTACAGGGATGTTCGTCAACTTCCCCGCTTGAACGGCTCCTTTATTTCTCATGGAAGACAATGTAGGTATCAATTTATTGACTGTTTTAATAAATACTTACAAGCAGCTATTGTAGCTGTTCCTTTTCCACGAAGCACTGGTTTATGCGTGTTTTCTCGAGCTTCGAAGTAAAAATGTGAAACCAATTTAGGACAATGTAGATATTGATCATATTTATTTGCAGTCGCGTTTAATCTAAAAAATGAAAGCAATACATTATATAAATAAATTAAATTGAGTGAAAAAGCGGAAACGGGGTCTTGTCCATTGAGCTGCAGGTATCCATGCGTAGCGATAGTCACTTTTCATCAATTAAATGTCTATTTAATTACCTTTAAAAGTAATCATTTACATTGTTTTGCTAAATTAGGAGGACTGGATTCAATTTGAGATGAATTTAAATTTTCTACCGTTCTGGGGTACCTATGAGACGGAGGATATAATATTCCTAATTCGGGACTCGTCTTTTAAAAAAAAGAGAAAAAAGAAGAAATGATTTCTTGGAGCCTGATTGGTCAATCTTTTGCAACCATTTTGCTGTCACTATAGGCATGAAAGCAAAGCTTCTCATACCCACATTCTCGGACTCGATGCTCGGGTATTACTTGCTAGGTTCAGACTACTGATAAATTTTGTCTTCTATCTCCAAACTAGTAAAGAGACAACAGCAATGACAATTTGAAAAGTTACTTACGTTAGTTTCGTGACTGTACAGTTTTTCAAACCCTCCATTGTGATATTAGTTAATTTATATTTTACGTTTTCCAATACTCCTTCAATTTTTTCTATATGTAATGGGTCTAAAGGTGCAATTAAGCCTTGGACTCCATTTACAACAGCTTTATAAACGTCAAATCCTCCACTAGTCACACAATTCACGTTGTCTAGAATGCATACTTTTTTGCCTGAAACACAAAATGTATGTAAAAAAAATAAAGATATTAGTAACCATTAATTCTAAAGAAAAAAGATAACAACACATTAGTTAACAGATGTTTTTTAGAATCATATTATCAAGTAATATACAACAAAATTTATGGAATTATTTTATTTATATTGTAGATGGCAAAAAAAATATTTTGGTGTTTTGTTAGTTTGGTACATTTGTTTTATTATTATGAAGTTTCGTTTTATTTAATTTCGTAAATTAGAACGGTTAATAAATAAGTATGGTGATTATTTAATGTTTGTTTCTTAATAATTTATGTTTGTCTACTCACATGGTTCAGCAGAATAGGAGTATGTATGGTATATGAAACCAAGAAGAACGATAAGAGACTTTAAGGTATTCATTTCGTCTGAATGATGACAACTTACTGATCATCCAAGACATATACCCAAATTTATACTGGTTAGTTTGGTCATGACACAGATTCTGTGCCCTTATAATTCAGGCGATGACAATGTAATTTTATCTGATAATTACCTTTTGGTTTGTAAAGATTTGATAATACAAACATGGAAGTTAAAGGATAAAATGTTATTCTTGTACTCGTACAGAATGTTACAATTAATTACTGTTTATAAATTATGTAAAAAATCCCAAAAAACGCTAAAATTTAATTATGTTAACCTGCCATGATGTAATTGAGATAAACCGTTCCAGATATATTGGTCAACGACATTGAAGAAAACACCTAACGTTAAAAAATTATGGACGAAATGTGACCACCAGGCTCAGACCCCACGGCCAGGTACTTTCGTATAAAGTGTGCGAAAAAATTTTTGCGATCCACGGCTAAACTGCTTTTTTCTACTTACTCAAATCAAGCATGTTGTTCATTTGAACAACATGCTTTTAATAAACTAAAAAAATATTAATCTGAAACACCACAGTTTGCTAGTGTAAGTCAATTAAGCGAGGTTGACCTAGAGATATAACAAGACCAGCTTTGGAGTGGCTGTCAGAAGTTTTCGACAAAGAGCTACCTCCCGTGGAGGTTCAGGCCCAGATGAAGTATCTGGGCCTAAACCGCCTTCACCAAAGAGACTACCCTTTTCAAAATTAATATTTTTTAAAGTGGTAAACAAATTTTAACAAAATTATTAGTGTGTGAATCGATACATCTAGAAACATGCTGTGCCAAACCGCACGCATTTTCTGAAATGAAATTTATTGAAGAAAATCTTCGCACTTCAATGGTCACCGTTCTAACCTAACCTAATCCAAATTTAACTTAGAAAGTCTGCAAATTATCTAGTTATTGTAGGAACAGAAACAATTTGGTCCACTTCATCGGACTCTACCCGATAATTTGCAGATTAATAAGTTAATCTGAACTCTACCTGATTTACGCACATTAGTGGTAACATATACATCCATCGATCCATCCAAACATTCGCATTGATATTCATATTAAATATGGTAGGCAGCGGCTAGACTGTGGCTCTAGCGGTTACCACTTACCATCAGGTGGGCCGCTAGCTAGTCTGACACCATTGGCAATATTTTTTTATCGAAGGTACAAATGTCTTTTATTTATTTTTCTAGAGATGTCAATTCGGTAAATTCAATTTTTGTGAAGCTACCACTAAGCCTAAATTTAATATAAGACAATGTGTGCAAATTGGCTAATTTTCTAGAGGTGTCGATTCGCATACTAATAAATTTAGTTTGGGTCAATCGACCATTAAGTAAATATTAATTATAACAAATTTATGCGAATCGACCACTAAGCTCATAAAATGATCTTTTTTTTAATTTTCGTTATCTGTTTTCTATCCAATAATAATAAATGTGTTCATCTTTAAAATTGCATTGTTTAGCTACTGACGATGAATAGTGAGCGAAGACGGTAAATTATTTGACAACTGTTTCTGAACAAGTTAACAACTCGGTAAATAACTTGATAACTCTTTATTGAACTATTTGCCAATTCATTATTAAAATCATGAAGAATTTATTTATTGTTGTCACTTAAAAGACGGTATAAAATAACTTAAAACAACTAAAACACAGACGTTAAACTGATTTACGAATTTACAAGACAAGGTCAAAACCTTAAAATAGACGCCCTGACAAATTACAATTTTAGACATATCAACATATTTACTCCAGCCATATATCTATGTCTTGATATATCTATCTATAACCCGCGACCCAGAATTTATTCCTAGTGCGGGAGTTGTCTTTTTAAAATTAAAAATAAATAAATTAGTAAACCCCCGCAGACGGTACAGATAATATTATTCCCAACACAACTAAAATTGGTGACCGACATAGATATCCCAAAAAATAAAAAAAATATATATTTCCAAATTATAATACAGTTAATGGCATTAAAGCTGTGTGAAAGAAATTAAATTATAGTGCAATCAATTGATAGAAGAAAATTTTAACTTTTACGGATGGAAAATGGGTTTTCACAACATCCATTGAGCTTAGATATTCGAAAGTTCTTTTTCTATTAATTTATTTCCTCTTGACGTTTATCATCAACTCTTTCTATTTTGTCTATTTTGTAGATAAATCTTTATTAGTTGTAACGTCTCTAATAGACTAATATTTCAATTAACAGTGGTAGTATTTACAAAAGTATTTTATGGTTTATTGCATCAAAATCTGTACTGATCAATAAATAATTCAAACACTATTATTATCTTTTTAATACCTCGTAGACACCCGGAACTAAAAGTTACAAATACTTTGCCGACATTTAAGTGCCAACGGGAGGAGCATACCCTAAATACTTGGACAAAATTTAGGATTGGCTCCTCCGTGACCTCACTCACTCGGTGAAATGCAACAAAAGAATTTCTTCACACTAATGTTCTCTGTGAGCCCGTGTGGCCATAGATTTTTGACTATTAGACTTGCTCATTATAAAGGTATGCCTATATAATACTGTGTGTTGAGAGAGACTTTGCAAACATACATGAAACGGACACAAATAATACTCAGATTCAGAACAACAATTTGTGGATCATACAAAGTGTTGTCCCATGTGAGGATTCGCACCCACAATATTCAGCGCAGAAAGCGATCTTCAAGAAATTATGCAAATATTTGGTTGTAGCAAGTGACGTGAGGGACCTTTTCACCAACTTTCAGAGAGGTTGTGGTATCACGCCGCGCCACCTCGACTATTAGATATCAGGTTTGCTAATCGACTATTAGACTTGCTTATTATACGTATAGGTATGCCTATATAATACTCTGTTAGTCTTTAAGTTAGTATAACTAATTGTTGTATTTTACGTGTATAAACGAGACAAGTGAAATAAGGTGCTGATTGCGTTATGTTTGGATAACATATTAAAGTTATACACATTATTTTAGGATGATAAAAATACAGTATGGATCTCGGATTAATATTAGGAGGTTACTTTACCAGGTCTTGTTTACCAGTCGAGTTCACATAATATACGATAAGAAGTTTATGAAATTGTAAAAAGCATTAACAGTTTTATGCTTTACCTTCTGAAAAAAGCAAAAACAAAAAAGTTTTGTGTAGAATTACGCCATCGGTCGCTCGGCTGTAATGAGGTTGCCACTGTTACTTTAAACATGCAAATTATCACAGTTTATACAACATTTTTTTTTTAATAACACATAATAACAATACGTTTTTATATTACAATGCACATTTCAGTTGTGTAATGGAAGACACATTAGTATTTAAAATGAAAGTGGATGTTACATATTATTATGTTGTTAAAATCTTCGGTAAACCTCTTGTCTTTACCGAAACCTCTGTCTTCAAACACATTACTGACTATGCCGTTAATAGGTATTGTATTAAAATGCATACATTCACAGAATCTATATACTTGCAACTATGATTTTATTTCAAGTATCAAGTTTTTGTAAACAGTAAGATACATTTTCAATTTATTTTTAAAACGAGTCAAGGCCGAGAAAATGTAAAACAAATTGTCTATTTGTAATTTGCTTTATCATACGCCGTAAAAAATCGCTTCGTCTACTGTGAAAAACGTTTTCCTTTTAAGAAAGTAATATTTATTTTACGAGATTAAAAATATTATGTATGTTTGCATTACATGTAGGTTCACAATTTCCACAATCTTTACCTTGGGATATTGAGATCGGTATTTACAGAATTGATGCTTTCGCTAATTTCTGTAGAAGAAATTTAAAATATATTTTAAATAAGGAAAATATTTACATTGGTTTATTATACAACATATCTTTAATCGTAGGTTTTATTAAAGATTTTTCTAAAGCTTTTATTTTATTCATTTTATTACCAGAAGTAAATCTACTTGATAATAATGCTTGTTCTTTTTTGTATGCAATTGCTGTAGTTACATGTGTTCATGAATGTTTTTTTAAGTTAGTTTTTACTCTGTGATGATTATTTATAATAGAGTAAAACTCATTGATTACTAAAATCTGATTGTTATTTTGAGAAGTTATTTTCTTGGCAGAAAAATATAATTTTAGTAATTTCGTTAACATCTTTTTATTAATTCTTATGCTACTCTAACTTTAATATCATGTTACTATGATTAACTTACAAGAAATAATGTGAGTAATAATGTAAAATAATAAATTAAAAAAAAATAAACACCAATGTACAGTGTTTATATTCTTGGATAAAACAATAAACGGTATAACTACTATCACAAACTGTAACCTCAGTGCACCTACCTTAATAGATTTTTACACCACCCAAAGGCTGGCTGGTAGAAAATGTCCAGGGCATTAAGCCCCCCAGGGCGAGTAGGAGTTTTCTCGCTCGGTAACGTGATTGCCGCCATGGTACGGAGCAAGAGTGTGTGGAACATGGTTATGGTATAGTGGATATGGTTGACATGTAATTTGATATCCAATTCACTCTATTTCTAGATGTTGTTTTAAAAAGTATTATATTTGTTTTATTGCTATTAATCCACAAGCCATTAGCCGAAAACCACTCGTCCATGGTAACCAATATTCTATTTACAGATGATTTCAAGTCTACTAGATTTTTTGCTCTTATAACTAAGTTAGTGTCATCTGCAAAAACCGTATTTTTTGCATCTGGTCGTATCCTTAGAAATTTAGAAGGTCATTTGTAAATGTCATGAAAAATATCGGGCCTAATATATACCCTTGAGAAATTCCGCGTTTAACACTTATTATATTGGATTTGTGAAAAATAATAATAATAATATTATTTCGTAGATAGAAAGGCCTAAGTTGCAATTCTTAATCTCTTACACCATAATGTTCCAATTTTGATAATAGTAAATCATGGTCTATAGTATCAAAAGCAAAACTCAGGTCAATGAATATCCATACCACTTTCATACCCTCATTCATTTTTACAATTATATCATCCACCAATGTATACTAATAGATTTCATCTGCGGTAATAACACCTTTTTGATATCGAAATTGCCGGTGATTGATAACTCTTTGCAAGTTCAAATGTGCCATTAACCGACTTTTTATGACTCTTTTGTCTGTTGTTTTTTGTACACTCTTTGACCCCTTTTTGTGCATAGGAATAACTTTTGCCAATGTAATTTGATCCGGAAAAACTGTGAAAGTGGGTAAGCAAGGGCATTGATATTCTCTTTAATTATTTTGATTGGAATTTCTTCACAACCACAAGAGGTTGTATTTGCCATTTGAGCTACTATTTTTATTGTTTCATTAGGACAAAGTGTTGGGTATATAGTTCGTATCAGTTGCCACCCTTACTGTTGAATTTACCAAATTACTTATTGCCTTCTCTTTGTTTGTCGTTAGTGATTGTGTTTCGGCAAACGTGTTTGCAACATTTCAAGGTGCAGTCATTATTTTGTCGTCCATGGTTAGATTAATAT